AAAAAATGATACCTAAAAGAACATTCTCAGGTATCCACTCTGAAGCAACATTTTAACATCTTTGATAAGAGGATCAACAGGCTGCTTTTATTTCTAAATAAAAGTAATATCGGGGTACCTGAAAACATAGTTGAGAAGACAGTTACAATATGCAGCACCAAACCCAGCTCAGAAATAATACGCGTACACCTGATAGCTGCAAGCACGATTCCTTCACCTTTGGCATTTACATATTCGGCATTACTGTACCAATGAAATCAGAAATGTTGTATGCCGTAAATCTGCACTTCATTCCAATTCTGGAAAATTTTGTTGTCTTATTACCGAAATTGACCATGGGTAACATATCGGACTGAGGGGTTGTGGCTCTGACGCTCCAGTACCTCCACTTCGACAATGTCATGAATTGTAGGTTTAGGGAAATCGAAAAGCGGCTCTCTCTGAATTGCTTAGCACTCAGTTCATTTTTGACATCGTGTCCTAAATTCACGCTATTCCTTTCTGCCGAAAACTAAGCAGAACACTTCAACGAGGGCAACTGCTACGCAAGAGTTCTCCGTTTAGCATACTTCACCCATAAAGATGAAAGTAATGGTCATGAACTCTATCCACCTAGCACAGCCTACCCAAACAGGCGTAATTTTCGGTCCAAGCTTTTCCCTCATCACTCTTTCTGCTGCTTTAGACAATACTTTTTGCTGATACCATGACAAGCATGCAAATATAACGTTGGTAGCTCGTGTCAACAAATAGGAGGAGTCGTCAGTGACATCGAGCGAAGCTGAGATCCGTACACTTGGAGTTACAACTCAAATAAAACTTGGCATACCTGGTATATAACTGGGTATTACTGGGCGACCAATGGCTAGAGCAGTGCCTTCAAGAATGCATCCGTTCGAATGGGCGCCGATAAGAATTTTTATCTCAAAGGCTTCAGTAACGGCTAGAATTTGCAAATTTGGCATTGCAATACCGTAAATTCATTATGCGCAGTATCGCACTTAAATCTTCAAAGGCTCTACAGGACATCGAACACATAGCTTGTGGGAGATTACATTTGAGACCACGCAGTTTTTTATAGTTTGAATCCTTCATACCGTCCCCGCCCCTCTTCGGTCCTCGAGACTTTTCGCAACTGACAATGAGATTTACTATCTACCTATCCCGATATATTCGTACAACTCATGTGGCAATGTGGAACTTCTCTTTTCTCAACTGTTGGAGAATCTCGGTCTCGTTAAGCACCCCTGAAAAGTGATACGCAGAAAAGATTTATTTATTACTAGCTGG